TTTTATTTTTCAGCTTGTTGATGCTTGATCATGATTTCTATTTATTTTCCACTGATTTACTGATGAGCATTAGCAGCTTCCAGCGCTGTCTGCTTGTGTTCTCTCTTCCATGATCACTGCTCTGACTCAGAGGTAATAACATATTTAATTTCAGCAACATTACATGGCCAAAACACACATTAGATGGCAGGTCTATTTTTGGGCCCCCTCCCTATTAATATAATAGACCTAATATTACCACCCAAGCAAACAAAAATATTTCTTAATCAGTGGAAACCGATACAGTGTTTTCTATCGGAATAAGCGTTTGCGTTCAGTCAATAAAAATTGAATACTTCTTAATTTGTTTGAGAACTGAGAAAGACCATACCATATAGTCGTGGCCACATAACCACCTCTGGCAGTGCAATATTTCTCTAATAATTTTAACGGCCTGGAGTCCCAACCACACATCAAGACATTGTTCAGATCATTTGTTTCAAGACATTTGACATGTTTCCATCCTGAAATCTCGTGTGGGTTGAACTAATTTTTTACGCACCTCATCCCAAACCTTCCATTGCAAATTCCAAAACGTCATTTTAGAGCTGATAACAGAGGCTTGAGCTATTGATATGCAGGCTAACGCAGTTATTAATGCAGTCTAATACGGTTATTAGAGAGAGCGAGATTAAGTGCGTGTGAATACCTGCGTCTATGCGTCTCTCAGCAGCGTTCAGCAGCAGCGTCTACTAATAGCGAATCTTTAAGTTAAACTCCTTCATGAACCTCGCTACTGAGAAATGTCATGTAGCTTTTCAGCTGCGAAACAATTTTACTGATAAATTTGCGGTGCAGAACTGACAGGTAGTTTCTGTTCGAGTCTCCGCGTGTCTGACTGTGTGTGCGCGTCTGTGAGAGAGACTGGGAGAAAGAAAGCTTGATTTCCATAGCCTACATAAAAAAGTTGTCAGACATGAAAATAGTTTGTCATTTTTTACCCTATTGTTTGTTATATTTATTTGCTCAATGTCTTGAGCAATGCGTAAATCCGGCCCTGTTAGACAGCAATCGGAAGTTATTACAAACACTCAATGGTGGTTTAAAGTGAGTTTTGAGTAAAAGCGGAATATAAATCTTATTTATTGTCTTATGTAGCATGATGCTACAGTTTGCTTGAATGGTCACATAACACGTGCTTTCGGTCGTGTAACGTTAGTATGAACGGACATCTGCATATGATCGGAACTCCACGCAGCTCCCGCGCTACTCTATACTGGTGGTATTACAGTACCACGAGAGCTAAAGAGAGCAGCTCCGTGCGCTTTCGAATCGCTCTCGCGGATGATCGATCTGCGCCGCACCTCTTCTAATCGAACACACCGGCAAGTGCTGCAGGCTTATTGGCTCACTGATGAGATTAACCCCTTAGGTATTGAAATTTGGTACCATACGACAAGACGTTTTTCGATACTCGATGGTATCGAGGCAATTCGGTCGGTGCCTAAAAAGTATCGAACTCGATACCCAGCCCTAGTCCAAATTAGTCCAATTTAAAGATGGCATTACCTTGAAATTAGGGTTGAGAATCGAAAATCGATTCCAATTCCAGAATCGGATACTTAAAGTTAGGAATCACATACTTTTTGTAAAATTAAAATTTCGATTCCGCCTATCAATTTCTCTGTGTAAGCTGTTTTGGTGTATGTGTGTGTGTGTAAAATAGTATATCAAGTCTGGCGACTAAAAAATGTACTAGCCAATGGCGATAATATTGCCAAGGTGTGCATAGAGGGTTGATACAGAAGTATGCATTTAATATTATTTATTGCGTTTAATGTAAATATGGTATAAAATATTGTAATACCGTACTGTGTAAAAAGATCATCACAATGCAATGTGGTTTCCAGTGCTGATTCCAGTGCTGGAGTCGACACCGAATCTAGGACTCTTCAGAGTCGAGGAATTGACTCTTTTGGAGTCAACTACCCATCACTATTATCCAGAACATGCTCAGTATGAGGTGTTTATTGCTGAAACACTCATTCATTGTTTCTTGTAAATGAATCAAGTCATCCAGTTAAATTAAAGGGACAGTCCACCCAAAAATAAAAATTGTCATCATCATTACTCACCCTGACATTGTTCCAAACCTATATGATTTTTTCTTTTGGGAAATATAAAAATGTGTTGTTTGTCCATATAATGGAAGTCAAATGGCACCAAAACTGTTTGGTTACCAACATTCTTCAAAATATCTTCTTTTAAGTCATGCAGAAGAAAAAGTCAGACAGGTTTGGAACAACATGAGGGTGAGGAAATGAGGACACACATTTCACTTTGGGTTAACTATCTCTTTAATCCAGATTATGCTTAAATTAATTTTAATCAATAAAACTTTTACACTAATAAATGCATAAAAATGAGTTATTTATCCAACAGTGAAGTAGTAGGAGGAAGCCCCCCCCCCCCCTTCCTCCAGTGTCGTTTTATTCAATGAGAAAACTGTGGTAAATCAGAAAATCAAGAAATGTCTGAAGCACCAAAACAGAATTTATAAGCGCATTAAAAATAAGTTAGAGAACCAACTCATTAATCTACTCAAAATGCATTTCACAAGGAAATTGTCAACATTTGGATAACAATGGGATGATGCTTATTAAAATAGTTTTATACCATGAATATTAAAGGGGTCATATGATGTTGCTAAAAAGAACATTATTTTGTGTATTTGGTGTAATGAAATGTGTTTATGCGGTTTAAGGTTAAAAAAAAACACATTATTTTCCACATACTGTACATTATTATTTCTCCTCTATGCCCCGCCTTTCTGAAATGCATCGATTTTTACAAAGCTCATCGGTCTGAAAAGCGAGGTGTCCTCTGATTGGCCAGCTATCCAGTGCGTTGTGATTGGCCGAATACCTCAAGCGTGTGATGGAAATGTTACGCCCCTACCATACTGTTGATGCCGTGTCCGGCCGGAGTGACGAGACAAAAACATTAAAACTCATTATAAACGAGGCATTTGTTGCATCCAGTGGGGACATAATTACGGATTATAATTACTTATACTGTCTTTTTACACGTTGCGTTGCATCGCGCTGCGTAAACATAAAACCATGTCTGCATTTGTGATCGGAGAAATGACAAACAACAAGTGCTACTCTACACTGCTCAAAACTCTGTTTGAAACGTCAGTGGCAAATCCTTTAAATATGAAAACGTACTTACAGTCTGTGAGTCAGAACAGCCGGCATTGTAGTCTACTCTACCAGGATCAGGAAACAGTCCTCCATAAAATGCGCTGCACACATCTGAATATTTGGGTTGAACTGTTCTGGAACAGTGTTGTAAATACAACTTAACCACTGATTTCAAGTCGTGTCCTATTTTGGAAGGCCAAACAAAGTAGTTTCGCTTTCACAACGAAACACAGCGTCACACACGGCGGGCTAGAGTGAGGAACGGCCAGCGGATTCGACGAAGGAGCGGCCGGCGGGCTTGTGGCAACCACATGTGACGACCCTGGGCTGGACTCCGCTTCGTCCACGGTGAAAGCAGATCCCGCGATCCACAGCGTGAAGTTGATGTATTTCCTCAGCGACCAGCACGGATCAGCTCTAGGTATGACGAAGCGGATATCATCCTCTTTTGGAAGACCAAACAAAGTAGTTTCGCTTTCACAACGAAACACACAGCATCTTCACAACATGGTGGTGGCAGCGGCGGCAACAACAATACTACAGCGAGAATAAAAGTTACACCTTCTTTCTTTGCGTGAACATTTGGGCGGCGTTATGCAAATCTTCCCACATCTTGACATAGACATGTGGGGGCGTGTTAGAACAAGCCGTTTTAGGTAGGCGTGGTTGACTTAACTTTTATAAAGAATATCTCTTTGGATTTGAGACTTTAGTCTTTGCAAATTTACAGATCTTCTTTATGCACCAAGAGCTTGTAACACTCCAAAGAGAAAGAAAAAATTTTAATCGCATCATATGACCCCCTTTAAGTACTGACCTATCAACTTAAGACAACAGAAGAGAATTCAAGAAATGCAGAGAGACTTAAACATTACTTTTTTACAAAAATGTATTCCCCATGTCCAGTACATTCTGAGCTGGGAAGAGGTGGGGATTTCCAGAGTTAAAAAAACAAACATGTCTGTCGACATTTACTCACCTTTTTGTTATTCCAAACCTTTATGACTTTCATTGTTCTGTGGAGCACAACAAGTGATGTTTTAATGAACCTCAAAGCTGAAGAATGTTTTCCCATACAATTAAAAACCATCATGACCACAGGCTCAGCCTCCAAAACAACAGTCCAATTTACTGAAGCCTTACAATAGATTTGTACATGAAACAGACTGAGATTCAAACCACTTAAACCTCATCCACATATACACATTCTCAAACTTAAAGACAACATACCAAAGCACTTTTAGGGTGCTTTTTTGTCCTTTTTAGAGTTTGACAGTCCCCGGTCACAATATACATTTTCTAAGCTGCTTCATTTAAAGTTTTTCTTTTTTTAACCAAGTCATACAGGTTTGGAACAACATGAGGGTGAGTAAATGATGACAGAATCGCATCGATATGTGACTTATTGCACTGATCAAAAGTATAAAGATTTTCTCCTCCAGACCTGTGCCACACGTTCCAACATTAGTGTGAAATATTGCTCATATTAAGCCACCAAAAAAGAAAATATGCCCAAAAAATGTCTTTCTGTATTTGTGACAAGTTGCGTGTTATACAGCGAAAGAACCGGCTCATTGAAAATTACACGTGCTGGATTCAAACTTACACGATTTTCAATAGAAACAATAATTCATGACTGGTTAGAAACATTTATGGATGACAGATCATCTCAGTCGGCCCACAATTGGTATTAGTGTCACAGATCTGGGCTGGTAACCCAAAAGGTCATGATGATCAATGATCCAACTCCATTGTGACCCACCAGCAGGGCTTTTCCTTCTATAAGCATCCAGTAGGATAAACCAGGGGTCTCACCTCACAGTGCGGAGATGCGCCGGCATAATCCAGCTCCTCCTCATCGCCTGAATTCCTCCAATGAGTCGCCATCATTTCACCACTGCAGCCCACATCTAGAGAAATCTCCTCAAATCAGCACACTTCAACATCCAACTGGATTTGGTTTTCCACATGTTCGGGTAAAAGACCCTGGAGGATCAAACAAAAAAAGCCTATATTTAGGGATGCACGATATATCGGCCACCATATCGGTATCGGCCACAATTTGGATATAGATTTATCGGCCAACATATCGGTTATCGGCTTTCAAAAATAAAGAATAATCGGTTATCGGTATCGGCCAAAATTTTCATATCGGTGCATCCCTACCTATATTAATAAAACCTTCAGAAACATGTATTTACTAAAAACCAATTCTATGTAACGTTATCATATCACTTTCATTTTATGTTTATATTTTTGACAACACTTTGGTTTTACTAGAGCTTGTTTGTTTTAAGTGAAACATCCATTTTTAATCTTCAGAGCGAAATTACACGACATTTGCAATCGACTTTCACAGTTCCCTGCACACATTCAGATATCTAAACACGTTTTGACGCGGTTTCCGACTAGTTCTGGTTTCTTTTTGACAGGTGCCTCGTAGTAACCCCGTGGTAACCAATAGACTTCGGCCAATATAAACGCCCTAAAGATCGCGTATTCCAGCAAAACGTGAGCCTCACATTTTCTTCATTAAGATCTCAGAGGTATCACACCGTGAGGTATCAAACACACGCGCTAATTAGACAAGTTTAATCTTGTTCGAATAAAATGATAACCCGGGACAGAGAGCCTAACCGGACTGTAAACGGAGAGGTTTGGTGTGGTGTGGTCAGACTCTACTGGTGTGTGAGCGGCTAACAGCCCTGGAAACTTTCTGCGGTGAAGTGATGTCGTGTATTCAAACACAACCGACTGTATTTACATACACTTTAAAAGTGTCAAACTTCGTTTTGACGAGCAAACACTTGAAGCCCGTCGCGTGTTGGGCGAAGTTGGAGCGTTTTGAGTGATATATATATATATATATAAAACCTTGGGCTCTGGTTAGCATGAGTAGCTAGCAAAACAAAGTAAAGGCTAACTGGTTTTGTAATGGCTAGCCAGCACCTACCTGTTGGGAATAAAGCGAGCGCTGATGTAACGCTGAAAACGTCCATTGCGCACCAAAACACCCATTAAGCGACAGGATAGGTCCGTGTCTTGTCCTCAATCCCAGGGGTTCTGATGGATAAAAACAGCACGAAAGTTGTCCTAGTCCCCGGTCCGACTCGACGCACACGCGCGCTCGACACTCGCAGGATCAGGACTCGAGCGCACTCGGGATCCTTGGAAACGCCACCCTTTCTCTGCATCCAATCAGATTCTTCCTAACACTTCACGTTTAAATTTCAGCCAATGGTTTGCGTTGTTGCAAATACTATTTTCTAAAACGCTGTTAAGTCCCTTTTTTAAAAACTCTAAAATTTTTATTTGTATTTTTCACTCCTCAGTTTTTTTCTTAACACAGCTAGCGTTTTTGTGAACAATGTTGTTTTATATTATTGAAGCATTAACCTACTGTAATGCAACAAAGTAGACTTTTTAGAAATGTGATTGTTATCCATTCAATCTTAGTATCAGAGATACCATTATAGTTTTCACTAATAATTTGAATTAGCTTTTATTTTCATATTTCCAGTTTTTATTTTAATTTCACTTAACATTTTAGCAAATTTTGTCGTGTTTTATTTTTAATTTATATTATGTTTGTTTTTTGTTTTTTATATGTCTTATGGTTTTTATTTATTTATTTTATTTATTTATTAATTTTACTACACATCAAACTCAATAAAATTTTTAAATGTTGCTTTGGCATCTGGCTGAAATAAAATACGTTTTATATTTTAAAACTTATTTTAGCTAACATATAACATTTATTTATTATTATTTATTTATTTTTAATTCAATATATAGCAAGTTTTCAGTGTGGAGGCAGTTTGGGAACTGAAATAAAAACACACACACACACACACACACACACTTTAAAATAAAATAAAATAAAATATAAAATAAATACTGAAACTGAGCCACTACATTGTGTACACAAACAAGAGAATCTTAATACAAATTCATAGCAATTTATTCATGTTTACTTGGGGTCCCTGGAACGCTTGCTCCATACTGGATGTCTGATGCATGTTGAAAACTGAAAGTTTGTTTATAATCAGTTAAGTATCAAGTATCAACTCAATACTTCAAATATAATATGTTTTATGATCAGACCTCAAACAGAAGATGAGGGTTAAAATCAACAGACTCTGGGCCCGTGGGGATGTATGTTCTCCTCCCATCTTTGTTTAGTTGTCATATGCTACCAGAACAAATGGAGCAATGGTGTGGGATGGAACGTCTTGTTTGGACGTTTTGTCTCTAAACACAAAAAAATGGACAGTGCTGTTGTTTATTTCTCACCCTGTGACACAGTTTGACCAGACAATACAAAGAAACTGTTTGTGGGATACTCTTCCACAAAATCTAAACAATTGGACACTTTTAAATATGTGTTATTTATGGCTTATCCCATATAGGTTTTCCTAACATCATAAGGCAAAAATAAAGTCATAGGTATTTTATGTATAGATACTCCAGACATTCGGCCTATTATAATATTATTCTTGACCAATAGATCATACTTCTCAGTTATATACGTCTGTCAACAGTTGCATGGACAACTATAATCTAGGATAATTGTATAATTTTGTCCCCCAAACTTTTGCATGCTCTCTCTCTCTCTCTCTCGCAAATACAACTGTTTGTCTGGATTACTGGAGTCACATGTTGGCCTGGTTCAAAGCAGGGTCGGGCAGTTTTGGCATGCGATTGGCAGTGGCTGTGGAATGTCTGCGCGCACACACTGTGCCCCACAATGCGGACACAAGAGGAGCGGCTGCTATGCTCACAATCTGACAAAGCTTCACACTGCATCCATCATCTCTTTGCCATCCCAGTATACTTAAATCAGTGTCAGTATTTAGCAGAATATCCCCCGGTTTCACAGACAAGGCTTAAACCTAATCCCAGACTAAAAAAGTGTTGAGTTTCTAGAGGCGCGCACAAATGTTCCTTTCATTCACGGCCAGCCGAAGGGGCCACCTGTTTCAGGGATTGGGTGGCCTTTGTTCCGAGGTCGTCCTGACCAGGGACTTCACAATACTTCCCAGCCCAGGGAATTCCTCTCTCTCTGCAGTCGCATCTGAAATGGAGCTCGAGCCACGGCAGACTGTTTCTCAGGAAGTAGCCATCCCAAGAAGAATGTCAGTCAGCTGCATGTCCTTCTTGTGACCAACCTGGAAATACGCCTGCCAGTTATAACAGGAACAGTGTCCATCTTTGTTTAGAGGGAGTCTATTCTAATTCAGTTTAAACAATGCGGAAAAGAAAGATTGTGTGTTTTAGTCATTATGAGTGACTGCCACAGAGATTAGATTACTAATCATATTCAGATTAATCTGCCCTTTATGATATTGTGGAAGGTCACAGCTTTGTTTACTACAGTTTCTTCAACCTCACTTATAGGCTACACACAGCAGATCACTTCATATTCACCTCAGAGAGGGCCTGTGCTTGGAAATAGTGAACAAACCCAACAAAAACTCTGGTTAAACAGCCAAACAGAGAGAGGGCCGCTTTGTTTTCACAGCACACTGAAACTCCCTCTTGCTATTTAAATGCAGGAGTCATATGTCAGGTGTATGAATAAGGCTCGACGGCGCCGCCCATTTTCTATTGTGAATGTCCACTCACTCTATCAATGCCCCCCTTTTATTTAACAGGCAAATCATGAGAACAAAACTAAAATATCAGGACAACAGATTCATGTTGCTTTTGTGTGCTCCTTTTTTTTCCTTTCTTGGTTTTGTGAAAGCCATGTAGATGAGGATCCATATGTTTACAGTGTGAGGGGGGCTTGCTTGCCATGTGGCACTGCTATCGGCCATATGGTTGCTAAGGTGTTCTGAGCAGTTCGTAGTGTGTTGCTATCCAGCTGCTTGGCCTGGCCCTGCTTACTACCCAGGTCAAAAGAGCCCAAGTCTGTATGATAATCTGGTCCTTAGAAATATGTGGGGCCCATCTGAATGCATGTTGTTTTATTGAACTGTCAGGCAAAAATCATACATCTGACTGCTTACAAAAGTAATAGCACAAATCTTCAGAGTTATTGTCTATATTGTTACTCTAAAGTCGTATTTGAGCTTTAAAGCATCTTTTTTTGGCGGGGATCCTTTTTAGAATAAATGATATACTGTATATTAGAACATATTACCAATGTAAACCTGGTTTTTGATCTACAGTTCTGTTTTTTCCTAGTCCACAGCAGACGTTACAGGTTTACTGCAGGCTTTACATGATCAATTTTGCACAGTCAAGGTTAGTGAGGGATTTTAGACTGAAAGAAGATACATATTTACAGTCTGTTCGTTGAATTTTGGCCTGTTCGTTTGCCTGTGCGTCTCTCTGCATAGCTATCAAGACATTCCAGGAGGCAACATCAATAATTTTTGTCATTTCCTGAA